CCCGTCTGCTTGCACCCCAGGAATGGGGGCCCCAGTAACCCTGGCCTGCCTGCTGCTCCTCCTGCACCTCACAGCTGGGACGTCTGCAGAGCCGTAAGCCCTGTCCGTGTCTGTCTGTCTGTCCGCATGGTGGGCGGTGCAGGGGGGTTGGAAGCAGCCGAGGGCACCGATGAGGGGGCTGCTCGATCCAAAACTGAGGGGACAGGTCCGTTCTCCCCTGGGAGCTCAGTCCCTGATGCTGGGTCCCTCCTGGGCCCGCCTGGTCCTGTCCCTCCCAGCGGCGGGGGAGGGTGGCTCTGGTTAAGGCAGTGGCTTGGGGCGCAGGAGAGCTGGGTTCAGTGCCTGGCTCTGCTACAGACACACTGTGCACCCCCGGCCAGACACCGACCCTCTGAGCCTCAGCTCCCCTGTACCATGGGGTGATGATCCTCTGCGGCCGCCTGCTCCCATCAGCTTGTCACCCCTTCAGGCCATGACCTGTCTCTGCCTGCGAGTCTGTCCAGCCCCAGCACAGGGGGGCTAGGCTGGCCCGGGCCTCTAGGCACCAGTGAAATAGAACAGGAATTACCGACGAACCCAGTGCGTTAAACGAACGTCTCAGCCAGAACCTGGGAGTGCCCCGAAGGTGCAAACGCCGAAGGGTTCCTGCGAGAGCAGGTGGAGGCTCCGGGGTGCAGACTGAGCTGGGGGTGGGGGTGGGGCTGTATCTAAGCCAGTTACTGGCTGCAAAGGACTCAGGTGCTCAGTACAGCCCCAGACTAACCAGCCTCCCCCCGCCGTGCACAGGGGACTCTGCTCACTCTCAGCGCCACTAGCTGCCCCCTTCTGGGCAGACCGAGCAGCCGAGAGGCCGGAGATGGAGGGGGACTGAGCCCCTCTCTGCACCCCCGGGACTCCTCCAGCTCTGCGGGAGGCAGGCTGGGGTGGGGGATGTAGAGCGGGGGCCTTGCCCTGCCCCTGCCCTGTGGTTAGAGAAACGAATCAGCCTATAGCACGGTCAACCTAGCTCTGGCCCCAGAAGGAGGGACACTCAGAAATCGGGAGTCACCCCGGTCCTGGGGGAGGCTCTGGGCTATCCCCTCCCATCCCACTCCCCCACTGCCCATGGTGCTTTCCCCTCCCCAGGCACTATGTGGTGGTGAGCCCAGCCGTACTCTACCACCCCCACACGGGGACGGTGTCAGTTCATCTCAGCGACCTCAAAGAGACCGTCCGGGTGAGTGTCCGGCTGGAGAGGGGGGATGGTCCCAGCGCTATCACCCTGCTGGAGAGAGAGGTCCAGGAGCCCCGTCTGCACAAGAACGTGCGCTTCCAGGTGAGCCCCCGCCCACAGCCATCGGCACGGCCCCGGGCACTGGCCATGGGCACGGAGCCCGTCAGCCCCAGGTCTGCAGCCCCAGCCCAGCCTCAGGCCCTGGGCACAGCAGGGCTCAGGGGACTGGCCATGGGCACGGAGCTGGTCACTCAATGGGCAGCTGTAGCCACAGAACTCGAGCCCATCCCTCAGCAGCGACAGGCAGGGGGGGAGCGGGGATGGGGTGGGGGGCACAGAGAGCGCCCTGGCTTCCAACTCCATCGAACGCCCCAGGTTCATGCTCCCTCCCATTCAGGGCCCCCAGGCTGGGGAGGGTGGTTCCTGTGTTTTGGGGGGGCTGGAACAGGGACTCACAAACACCACTGCCCCCCCCCCCCCCATGCAATAGTGGATCTGCACCACGATTGGCTGGTTACTGGCCGCTGTGGCTTTGCTGGGGTTTCCCGTGTGCAGGTTCCAGCCCCGTCTGGGGGGCAGCAGGAAGTGGCAGAGCTGCACGTCTCGATCCGGGGAGATGCCCTGCAGTTCTCTGAGCGGAAGAAAGTGCTGCTTCGGGCGCTGCAGCCCAGGACCTTTGTGCAGACGGACAAGGCCGTCTACAAGCCGGGACAGACAGGTGAGAGGGCAGGAGCTGCTGGAGGGAGTTACCTGTGGCCCCAGGCCCTTGGGACGGACTCCCGGGCTCTGGGGTCGGGCTTGGGGCCTAGCGGGGGATTCGGGACTCTCACTTCTAGGACCCTATCTGCACCTGGCCCCAGGGGAGAAGAGGCCCAAAGCTTGAGGCCTGTTTGGGGGCCTGTATGGAACCAAGTGGGGGTCTCAGCCCATCCTTGGCGATGGCACAGACACTGCAGGGGGCACCAATCGGCCTCCCCTGGCAGCCTCCAGCCATGCAGGGCAGAGCCGTGGCTCGTTGGCAGAGGGCAACGTGGGGAAGCTGGCGCTGCGCTGCCCGGGCTGGGCCCATTCTGCGGGTTCACAGAGGCTGTCAGTGCCCAGGGCGTCCGGCTGGCACCTTCCCCAGCTGGGAATTCACTCAGAGAAACCGAGCCGGGGCTGATTCCCGCCTCTGCCTCTGCTCCTTTCCAGTGAAGTTTCGAATCGTCAGTTTGGACAAAGACTTCGTTCCCAGTACCCCGAAGGTGAGAGCTGGGGGTGGGGATTGGGGGCAGGGTAACAGGGCCCTGGAGCACTGGACATGTTAGGTTTGTCTACACCAGGCAGGCCATTCATCCGGTTTGAAATCGGACAGTCCTCTTCTTGGGTGATTTGCCCCCGTCCAGTGCTTGTGTCTGATATTGGGTGGGGGGTGCCATTTGGAAGAGCACACTGCTCTGCCCCTGCTGGTGTGAACTCACACACACCGAGTGTGCGAGGTCACGCCAGCGGGGACAGGCCCATGCCAATCCTGGAAATACTGGGATCTCCGGTATTCTGGGAATGCCTCAGCCGCCACCCTGGTCTACACTGCTGCAGGGGGCGAGTCTCCCAGGGCAGGTTAACAGCCTTGCAGTAGCAGGGCTTGTGGTGGCCTGCTGAAAACAGCCGTGTGGAGCAGCCCCCTGGGCTACAGACCTAGTGCCTTGGGCAGTGGCCTCTGTTGGTTGCAGTCTCTTTACTGCGCAGAGAGGGTTGATTGCACATTGCATGGAGCCGGAATGAGGGCGCTGGGCACCCACTGGCTTTAGTGCAGTCTGTGATTGGCTGTGGATGCCAGCCCCCTCTCCTGGGATGACAGTCATTAGCACCTTTCAGCCTAACCGTGCTGTGCACTCTGAGTGACGTGGCAGAATCGGGCCCAGTGTGGAAACACAAATTGACAGCTCCCCTCCCAACCATCTCGCTCGGGCACTGGCTGCAACGCAGACCCCCGGCCCTTAGACTGCCCCTTGGCAGAGACCCCAGCATCTCGCCCTGCTCCTCCACGCACAGACCAGCCACCCACTGCCCTGTATCCACCACTGCAGGGAGGGGTGGGGCCTATGGGAGGTGCGAGGGCTGCAGCCTCATGGGCTCCCCTTCCTGTCCCTGCTCTCTCGGTCACCCCCGCTGCTGTCTGCATGATCCCCCAAGGCCCCAGAGACACCCCAGCCCTGGGGAGGTCACAGGCAGACCTGTGGGCAGTGGGGGTGTTTCCTGTCCCGCTAACCAGCGATCTCCTGTCTGTTTGCTTTGCAGCTGCCCCTGGTGACCGTGCAGGTCAGTCTGTGCCTCTCCAGCCTCCTCCTCTTCCTGTCTGGCTCATCCGAGGGCACCCAGGGGGTGTTCAGTCGTGGGGATCCCAGAGGAGTCTGGGCTGTGACCACAGTGTCGAGCAATCCAGCCCTAGACCCCTCTGCCCTGCTGTGGGGATGCAAAGGGTCCCAGAGCACGGGGTGTTTCTGAGCTGGACCACATGGGGGGCAGGGAAGGGATATTTGTGCCATCGGGTTACGTCCTCCCCACCCCGAGTTTGCAGCATCTGGGGCTGTCTGTCCAGGAGACAGGTGGGTTTGGACCTGGCTGGGATTAGGGTGACCAGATGTCCCGATTTTATAGGGACAGTCCTGATTTTTGGGTCTTTTTCTTATAGTCTCCTATTACGCCCCACCCCCTGTCCCCATTTTTCACACTTGCTGTTTGGTCGCCCTAGCTGGGATCCCTGCCTGAGTCACTCACCCCGAATGTTCCCAGCCCCCTAACTCTGGGTCAGGCGGTGACTTGATCAGGCCAGTGGGGAACTCAGCGGGGAGCTCCCTTGGGAGCCTGAATGGGGGAAGGGCAGGGGAGGAGGGAGGGTCTCTGGGAGCTGCAGGGGTAGAGGGGAGGGGTGGAGGTTTGGGGAGGCTGCGTGGGGGGAGGAGGACAGGAAACATACCCACAGAGGCCTAGCACTGAGATGGAAACGGTCCCTACGGCGAGTTCCCTGGGCTTTGTCCAGGCTGGAGATGGGGTGTCCCTCGGGAGCCTGTTCCCCCCAGGGGTGGTGACCTCGGGTCAGGGCTGAGGGGCACTGGCAGGGGCCCCCTTACCCAGCGGCTGCCCGGCGGTGCCTGCTCCAGGCTAAGGAGAAGGATTTGAGCCCCCGGGCGTCGATCCAGCCCTGTCGGCAGCACAAGGCACTCGGGGGCTGCCGGGGAGAAGCCGTGTGTGGGGGCAGCGGCTGAGCTGGGCGTGTCCGTTTGCCAGGATCCCAGTGGGAACCGCATCGCCCAGTGGCAAGATGTGACTCCGCAGCAGGGCATCGTGGATCTGTCCCTCCCGCTGTCTGCAGAGCCGGCCCTGGGGACGTACGCCATCGAGGCGCAGGGGACGAGGCACTCGTTCAGCGTGGAGGAATACGGTGCGTACTGGGTCCCAGGTCAGCGACCCAGGCCGTGGCTCAGGCACGTGGTGGTGGAGGGGGATTCCTGAGTCTCCCTGGGGCGAGGTGTCCGTGGATCCCTGTCAGAGGGTCCCTGGGAGCTCAGAGCCCTGGGACTGGCCCAGCCAGCTGCAAGCTCTCCTGGGCCTCAGCCACCCCATGCCCACTCCTCCCGCAATAGGGCCCTGGGGGAGGGGGAATTCAGTCTCGCTGCCCTGCCCCAGTCCTGCCCCACTTTGCTCTAGGGCCCTGGGGGAGGTCTAAGGTCAGCACGGCTGGGGAGATACAGAACTGGGGATTTCACTATGGCTGGCCCCAGACACACCAACATCATGAGTCAGAACCATGGCTGTTCCATGTTTTTGGTCTGACTTAGGATTTCTGCAGTCCCCGGCCCCCGCCGCCCTCCCCCCCCGGTGTGTGGGAGGTGGATGGGGGCAGTTACCGTGTCACCAAAGTTATCGTGGGAGCTGATCCTGGCTCCTGCTGCTGGAGCTCGCTGGCTGCCAGATGGGACGTAGCTTCCAGCTTCTCACCAACCCCCAGCATCTAACTCTGTCCCCCCAGCCCCACCTCAGCACCCACCCACATCGGCCCTGTGCCCTCCAGCCCCACCTCTGCCCAGCCTAGCACCCACCCACCTACAGCTGCCCTGTGATGGGGGGAGGGATAGCTCAGTGGTTTGAGCATTGGCCTGCTAAACCCAGGGCTGTGAGTTCAATCTTCAAGGGGCTGTTTGGGGATTTAGTTGGGGATTGGTCCTGCTTTGAGCAAGGGGTTGGACTAGGGTCTCTTCCAACCCTAATATTCTATGATTCTAAGGTACTCAGAGCATCACAGCTAAGTACATGGTGGAACAGATTGTTTAGCGTAAGTAGGTAACCCACACTGTGAGAGACCATTCCAACCCTGTGCCCCCTAGCCCCACCTCTGCTCCTCCTGGAGCACAAGGGGCTCGTCACACAATTCCCCCACACCCTTCCCAGAGCGGGTGTTGCTGGGAGAAGGAGGGAAATGTCAGCGGCCCCCTCTCCATCCCCCCCCCCAAAAAACCTCCTCTGGCTCCTGCGGGGGAGGGGAGAGAAGAGCTCTGATGTCTCCCTTCAAACAGCTGCCACTGACCCCCACCTGCCCCTAATCCCACAACTGCCCCTCGCCCGAGACACCTGCCACAGACCCTCCAACTGCCTCCCACCCCCGCCCTCACCTCAGATACCTGCCCCTGAGCCCCCCCCCCCCAATACTCCCACCCTTCCCCTACTGGCCAGTCCCCCATCCCCTGAGCAGGAGTGAAAAATGAAGCACCCCCAAATACCCCCCCTCCTTCACTGGCCCATCCCCGGGCTGCACATTCACCCAGCCCCAACACACGCTTCCCTCCTGGGGCTTCTGGGCCTCGGAGCCGCCCAGCCAGCTCCTGTCAGTGCCCCAGGACGGCCCAGACCCTGAGGGACAAACTGCCCTGGAGCAGCCCCCCGGCTCCTCTGGCCTGAGCCCAGGGGTGAATTTGGCCCTGTCTGTCCAGGCTGCCTGGCGGGGCCCTGCTGGGGACGAGGTCCCAGCCGAACACCAGCTCCCAGAGGGAAACAGCCGGGACCTCATCAGCCAGGAGAAACGCCCACGTCCCCTGGGCCCCCATGGTCCCTGATGTGACCCCGCTCTCAGCCCCACATGGTCCCTGGCGCATCCCCACTCTCAGCCCCACATGGACCAAGGCCCAAACCCTCCATTGGAGCCAGGCAGTGGGGGACAGAGGCTGTTTTTCAGTTTATTGTCAGTGGGGTTGAAAAGACTCCTGCCGGCTGAGGCTCCTGTTGCAGCCTCTTCCCAGCCCGGCTCCATTTCCGGGCCCTTCCCCTTCCCGCCCAGCCGGCAGGTTGGTGGGGGGCTGCAAGACCCGGGGAGAAGCTCCAAGGCCGAGGATCGCGATGAAACCCCCAAGCCAGGGCTGCGGTTCGGTTTCACCCTGTCCCTCTCTGCCCCCCCAGTGCTGCCCAAGTTCGAAGTGACCCTGGAGCTGCCCCCCGTGGTGACGGTGCTGGATGAGACTCTCCTGCTGCGGGTGTGCGGCCGGTGAGTGTGAAACCAGCCCTGCCGGGCTGATAAACGGGGGGCTGGAACTGCCCTGGACCTTCCTCCCCCGCCCTCCAGGCCAGGATCTGACCTGCCCCTTCCCTGCCTACGCCCCTCTGCCCCATACTCATGGCCAGGCAGGGCTCCCTGGGGCTCTCACTCCCACACACATAGACTCATAGACTTTAAGGTCAGAAGGGACCATTATGATCATCTGGTCTGACCCCCTGCATGCTGCAGGCCACAAAACCGTCCCTACCCCTTCCCTTGACTCTGCTGTTGAAGTCCCCAAATCCTGTGTTTTAGTGACTTCAATTGGCAGAGAACCCTCCTGCTAGAGATCCCTGCCCCATGCTGCGGAGGAAGGCGAAAAACCTCCAGGGCCTCAGCCAATCTACCCTGGAGGAAAATTCCTTCCCGACCCCAAATATGGCGATCAGCAAGACCCCGAGCATGTAGGCAAGAGTCTCCAGCCTGACCCCTGTTAGCCATTATACTATTTACCTGCCATTGCTTGGTATTCCTTGGCTAATATGACCAGCCCCACCCCAGCAGGGACCCCCCCCATGGGCAGGGGCGTTGGCCCCCTCCCCTCCCACTTACCCTCTCCCTCCCCTCTGCTAAACAGATACACCTCCGGAAAGCCCGTCCTGGGGAGGGTCCAGGCCAGCCTGTGTTCGAAGACACACCCATCACATCGCTGGTCTCCATCCGGTTTGTTTAAGGAGCCAAGCTTGACTCTGTGCACGGAGCTTACTGGCCAGGTGAGTGTGACTGGGGCGGGGGGAGGTACATGACATGCTGCTGGAGGAGGCTCCTCTCCATGTTTTTCTTACACTGGCCAGAGGGGGCGCTGTGATTTCCCTTGGTGAGGTTGGTGACACTGGTGTAAAGCTGGTGTAAGTGCGGACGAATCAGGCCCTGGATCCATCCGGGTCCCCATCTGGCAGGCTGGGGGTGGGGACTGGCAGCTGTGTAGCTGGGCTTAGGGACTTATATGCCCCCCCCTTCCCCACAATATCTCAGTGCCTCACTAATCCTCCTAGCCGCCGGGAGGCAGGGCAGGCTCCTGTCCCCATTGTACAGATGGGGAACTGAGGCACGGAGATGCTCAGGGTCCGTCTGCGCAGCAAGAACCCTGCGGCAGCGTCTCCGAGCCCAGCTCTACTGCCTGGGGCTTGCGCCGCGGGGCTAAAGGAACAGTGTAGACGCTTGGCTGGAGCCTGGGCTCCGAGACCCTCCCCCCATCCCGGGTCTAGCGCCTGAACCCGACCGTCGACCTGCTGGTTTTAGCCCCGCAGCACAAGCGGGGTCAGCAGGGCTGGGCTCTGAGACTCGCGGCCGCAGGGTGTTTCTGCTGGAGCCATACTCAGAGGGACTTGCAGGCAGCTTGTGGCAGAGCAGGGACTTGCGCCCAGGTCTCTCCAGACCTAGGCTAGTGCCCCAGGTTACGGGGCCGCCCTTCCTCATCAGCAGCTCTCGTTAGGCAGGGGCAATGGAAGATACATGTAATCCTTCTGCCCATCTAAGTTGGCAGCAACAAGGGCAGGGTTCTGTATCTAGGGGTTCCGTTTCAATAACGCAATGCAAAACCGGCTCGAGCTCCCACCCAGTGACCTGGGACAATTACATACCACCCCCCGGCGCCTCTAAGAGGCAATACTTCCCCTCTCGCAAGCACGGAGTCTGAGTGTGACAGAAACTGTTTAATAACATGAGGTAAACGACATCAGCATTAAATTGGAAAAACACCACAAACAGGATTCCTAACACAAACCATGAGCGAAAAACCCACCCCAGCAAATTGGGCTATGTCCTTTCCCTTTGGTTCTTGAATCTAGCAACCCAAAAATCACCCAGAGTCCCCAGAGTCCAACACCCCCAAAGTCTCTTGGATCCAGCAACCACCCAAAGTCCCCAAAGTCCAACAGACCCCAAAGTCTCTGCCCCGGTCAGTACAGCCCCAGAGTAAAAGGGGGGGCACACCAGGTGTTAAGGGGCACCTTACATGATCCGAGGCCAGCTGGCCATCTCTCCATGGGGTTCCACCACAGCCTTCACCACAAGCCAGTCCACTTCCTGCCGTCCCACAAACTGCTCCGCTCTACAAGCTGCTCCGCTCACCAACCTGTGAGCCACTCCAGCCGTTCTCCCAAGGCTCTGCGCCGCTCACTGCTCCTCCAGTCATCCCCACAAATTGCTCCACCAGCTGCTTAGCAATATAGCTTCAGGCTTCCCCACTAGTTAACACAGCACTCAGTGATCTCAGCTCTTAATAACTTTAGCTCTTTTTGTGATTTCAGCTCTAAGCAATTTCAGCTCATAGTAGGGGAGCCCCAGTGCTAATGCACCATTGGCCCAAAGTGAATTCAGCTCAGCAGCCTGTAACTAGACTCCAAATGGAATCAAAGCTGCTCTGACATTCAACAGTGGGGAGAGGAGGTAGTACAATTGGTGTTTCAAACCCTCAGATGGGGCCCATGCCATCAGGCAGAAATACCTATCCCCATCCTCTCTCCACTCACTGGGTTTTGGAACCCATGCCCCTTGTCAAGCAAGTGCTACTTAGGTAATGGTGAAGGACTCACTCAGTCCTTCTGTCATACAACAGTTCCATTGGCCTTGATTCACAGAATCAGGGTAACAAAACTTTATTCTTTCTGCCCCAATAACAGAGAAAACTGGGGATCCCACACCAGCCAAAGTAACCACTTTGAGTTGCTGTTGTTTCATGCCAGGCGGGTGGGTGTGCCTATGCAAACAAGATCAGCCCCTGGAGTTCTTTTCCACACTCGCCATAATTCACCACCAGATGTCAGGGTAGAGCTCATCCTGACTCTGCTTACATCCAGATCTCCCCGAATGCTCTCAGTCCCTGGGGGGTTAGGGGGGTGATTGGAATTAGACAGCGTTACCACGACGATGGGGGATAAGCACCAGAGGATCTGTGATGGGCACGAGCGGCCAGGGCCTGTTTTACATCTCATCCCACCCACAGCAGCTCCAGCTGACTCCAAGGTGAGAGCGCCCCCTGCTGCTGACTTCAGCCCCCAGGTTTTCTTTGAATGTCTCCCGTCCCAGCACTAACCAGCCCAAGCCTGATTAGAGACCTGCTGAGCTGACACCTGCGGGGTATCCCAGGTAGAAACCAAACTTGAACACCTTAATGGGACTAAGTCGGGCGGACCGGATGATCTTCATCCGAGAATATTGAAGGAATTGGCGCGAGAAATAGCAGGCCCCTTAGCGATAATTTTTAATGAATCTGTAAACTCGGGCGTTGTTCCGTTGGACTGGAGAATAGCTAATGTGGTTCCTATTTTCAAGAGAAGGAAAAAAAGTGACCCGGGTAACTACAGGCCTGTCAGTTTAACATCTGTAGTGTGCAAGGTCCTGGAGAAAATTCTGTAGGAGAAAGTAGTTGAGGACCTTGAGGTCAATGGCAACTGCGACAAATTACAACATGGTTTTACCAAAGGCAGATCGTGCCAAACCAATCTGATCTCCTTCTTTGAGAAAGTAACAGACTTATTAGATAAGGGAAATGCGGTAGACCTAATATACCTTG